CAGAATGGATTTATTCTGCATATATTCATGCAAATATTAGTCAATGTTTAAATTTAATATATTTACATACTCATATTACAATAATACATTAAATTAATACAAATTATATTAGTGTCACAGAAAACACAATAGTTGCTTTGCTTGCATTGCTGGGGTTTGAACTCAGGGCCTCACAAATGTTAAATTACCTACCACAGAGCCAGAGAAGGCAACGGAGTGTTTAGAGAATAGGATGTGCTTCTTGGACTTCAAGCAACTTCCCTAAATATATAATGTTTCTCAGGATTCTAATCCTTCCCTTTTATCTCCTGTCTCCCTCATCTCTTCCAATTCTTTCTTCCTTCTCTGTTAAAGCTAGCTGGGGGTGAGGGACTTCTTTTCTGACTGTCGATGAATGACTGTTATTTTTCTGGCCTTCAGCTCTGGTACCATTATAATTACACCTGCCTGCAGGAGAGGACACTACTAGCAAGATCAAGTCCAGCTCTGAAGATTCCATTAAGGAGTGGAAAAGGAAACCCTGCTACATCACTTTAGTACCAAGACGTGGGGTGCTACTCTTCACAATGACATTCAGCAAATTCATGTGCCCAAGTAAACTGTTACCAAAAATAAACGCAAAATTGAAAGCTAGTTTAGATTTTTGGATAATCAACTGCTGTCATCAGCTTTCAAAGGAGGGCACAGTGTCAGGATTAAAAAACACTTGATCACTGACATTTCTGCCTGAAGTTTCATTCTGAGTCAACAAGTCAAGTGAGGACCTACACCTCGCCATACTGGGTGTGTCCCTTCTACCCCTCACTTGACCAGCTGCTAACCTCAGCTCAGTGCAGTTTGCTTCTGGCCTTACCACTTTGTCCTCTTGGCTCCATCCTGTGGCCTCCTAGAGATCACCTTCGCATACACATCCTCAAACCCACCCTGTCCCCAAAGCCCAAAGGGATCTTTTTTACCACCCAGCTCTAGCCAGACCTATAATTCTAACCGACCATCTGGGTAATTTCTCAGCCCTTCTCAAAGCCTGCTTTCTCAGCTACAGAAGGAAAAGTATGGGCTAGGGGTGTACCTCGGAGGCTAGGGCCCAGGGCTTGAGGTTCATTCCTGGGGTAAAGGGGGGGGACATCTCTAAAACTCCATTTCACTCTAGGAATTTAACTTCTGTGAGAGCAAAAGCAGAAGAAAATGTTATGCCTCCCATTCAACAACAGATGTCGCTCCACCACTGACCAATAGCAGTTTGGATTCTGTCAACTTTCCTGAAATCTCGCTGATAGCAACAGCACAAAAAGTACAAACCCTTTAGCTTCCACCTCGCTGGCACAAATAGCCAAAGTGGTCAGCCCTGCTCTGGATCTGAGAGCTGTCTCTTCACTGTGATGCATCCAATCATTCAACAAACACTGACTGAGCACTTATTTGTAGCAAGGCGTTTCTTTGGAGGTTCTATTTCCTGTAGGATACAGCAACTCATACCTGTAATCCCAACCCTTAGGGGGCTGAAGCAGGATGATGGCAATTTTGAGGACAGCCTCAGGCACATGGGAGTGTGACACCAACACGGGCTACATAGCAAGACTCTAGTCCAAAACAAAATAAAATACTTAAATGAGAGGAAAAAGGGGAAAGCAAATAAAAAGAATAAAGGACTATTCATATTAAAATTTGGACCAGGACCAGGGATTTAGCTCAGTAGTTCCCCCGCCTGCCTCACAGGAACAAGGATGCGAGTTCGATCACCGGTACAAAAAAAAATTTTTTTTGGACCAACTATTAAAAAGTCATTCTTTTAAATTACTACCATAAGGCAAAGTTAGCCTTTCTGACTAAGTGATATCCCTTACAGTATTTAGTTGTATACATGCAAACTGCTTCAGCAAAAGGAATACTGTGATACAAATCACAAGCCATAGTCTAACACAACTCAAGTGAATAATACTGCTTATGAATCAGTAACTGAAAAATAATTGTCTTCCTCTAGTCATCACACAGAAAATGAAAAATGGCCTTCTAAGGTTCACATACTTTATAGCTAGGATAAACAAAGCACAGGAGTAGCACAGTGTTCTCTATACTCAGAGCAAAACAAAACAAAAAACAAGCCACACACAAACAATAAAAACCTTGCCGGGCGGTATTGCACAACTGTGCAATGTGCAAGCATGAAGTGTTGAGTATGATCCCCAGTATCAAGAAAAAAAGAAAGGAAAAAAAACCCACACAAGTCTTTTCACTATGTTTATTCATACATTTTAAATTTACAATATGATGACATTCATCATTGGGAATTTTCACCTTTGTGTGACGTATCTTGGTTCTTTTTTTTCCCCATTCCCCTCCCTATTTACAGACTTTGTTTAGGGGCCGGGGATTTAGATCAGTGGTGCGGCCGACTGCTTTGCAAGTGCCCAAGGTCCTCAGTTCAATCCCTGGTTCAAAAAAAAAAAAACTTTCCGTTTTTTCCTCTTCTCATATTTTTTTTCTTTTCTCTTCTTTCCCTTACTCCTCCCACCTCCTCCTCTCTTTTAGACTTTTTTTGTTCCTGACTCACATTATGTACTATACTTTCTGATTATTTACACTTTCTCACACAATAGAAACTACTAGGTATTTACATACACAAGGTTGTCCTATTTGTTTCACTGAAAACTATGCTCTCAATCCTTGTCCATTTAGATATAATTAGTTCCTCGTTCTTCATAGCTGAATAAAATCTATATCTTCCTTCTGCAATCTTCACCTTTATCTTGGGCTGAGTTAATATAATTACTCACTGAAAACACCTAACAAAAAAAATTTCAATAGTGCGTTTCCCCTAGCTGTTACTGACTTCTCAGAGCGCAGATTTTGGAGTAATTTTATCAGTAACTTTTGTTAATTTACTCCTTAAAACTTCTAATGCTCCTGCTGTAAGCATTCACACAAGTTAATTTTAACACAATGTACAATAAAGACTACAACAGGAGACAGAAGTATACTTCACTTACAACAAGATAACCCCTACCTACGAAATGTAAATCAGAACACACAGTGACCTATTCTTTACACCAAATATATAACAGACCCACTCAGACTGCGTTCCTCCCCCCTCGTCCCCTCCGGGAAGAGAACAAGAACGATCATCAACGGCTAGCGGGAGTCGCACCAAAGCGACACCAACAGCCGGCTTCACGCTCAGGAAGAAACGTTACACCTCCTCCTCATGGTTTCTGGTACTCTACACAATCAGAGAAGTTTCTCTAGTCACCAACTATAGAAATGATCCCTGAAAGTATAGCCTTAACCCACACCGCCTCGCCTTTCCTGCCTCCACCACACGCACACACATCGCACCCATGGTGAATTCCTCCTGGGAACGCCACTTCACACACACGCGTGTTCATGTGTCCCCCGAGGAAACCGTTTTCTCCCTCACCAGGTCCCACAAAGTCCTCTGAACGCTCTTCGGCCCTGGCCTTTTCCAAAAGTAATTCACCCTGTCGGTTTAATTAACATACAGTTGCGAAAACAGCCAATCACGAGCCATTTACTTCTAGCCCCGCCCACCAGCTGGGAACGCCACTTCACACACACGCGTGTTCATGTGTCCCCCGAGGAAACCGTTTTCTCCCTCACCAGGTCCCACAAAGTCCTCTGAACGCTCTTCGGCCCTGGCCTTTTCCAAAAGTAATTCACCCTGTCGGTTTAATTAACATACAGTTGCGAAAACAGCCAATCACGAGCCATTTACTTCTAGCCCCGCCCACCAGCCGCTTCTCACGCGTCACGCTCACCGCCAACTATCGCGCCCGCCCCGGCGCTAGGAAACCTCCCCTCCGCGGCAAACCCCGGTTTGGACCCCTGCGCCCGGCAAGGGAGGCCTCTCGCCAGGAGGAAACAAAACGAAAAGTGGACGGTGAGAGCCACCGTACAAAGCCAAAGACTATGGCGTCCGCACCGCGTGCCCTGGGTTCCCACTCCCAGTCAAGGAATTTGCACTCTACGAATGACACGGCTGTGTTTAAACGTACGAGACTATTTTATTTTATTTTATTTTATTTTATCCCCCCGCCTTAAATTGAAAACTTGGCTGGCTTCCCGTTGCTTGGGTTAAAGACGACGCTTTTCTACATCCGTGCGAGGCCCTGCGTGCTGTGGCTCGCGCTCCCCGAGCTCGCAAGGGCTCCCTTCTGCCCCCTGGCCGGTCCACAAGCCGCTCTCTCCAGCGGGGGGAGTCTTCCCTCCACTTAGCTTCCGTTCACCATTCAGGCATCTGTCTGTCCTAGGGCCTCTGTCTCCCTGAACCTTCCCGTCGACCTTCCCGTCGACTGTGTGCCCTATGTCCTCCCTACGCTACAATCTGCCTAATGTATCTCCTTAGGTTCACTGGAGGGTCTACTCACCTGCCCAACAAGAGCAAGCCCAAGTAGAGAAGAGTAGCAGGGAGCAGCGAGGGATTACCCTTTTCCATGGATCCCTCCCGGTAATGTATCTATGCCAGGTCAGGAAAGCACTACACCTAATTACCCTTTGTTCTTTCTGAAGATGTTCCTAGAATGAACAATGGAAGACAGACATACAGTCATCCTTAGAACAAAGTGAATGCATGCTTACTGCCTGCCACGTTAAACAGAATGTCTCCCTCTGCAGCAAAGGACGCATACCCAGGTAGGGTTCATGCTCCCTCAACTCAGGGTTCCTCTACTGTCAAACAACACAGTACATATTCAAAGCTATGTCTCTCTTTACCTGGCTTTGTGGGAACTGGTATAAAAGGAACCAACCACAAAAATGCTGATATCCTACTCCTGTTAGGAGTAATAGTCATTTATTTCTGACTCAGTAATTTGGTGTCTTTTACCAGCATCTATAAATCTGTAGCTGACTTGGCAAGTCAGCCCAAGAGAATGTACTGCTTCTCTCATAATTCTCAACATTCAAAGAGGACCAACATAGCCGGGCATGATGGCACACACCTGTAATCCCAGCACTAGGGAGGCTGATGCAGGAAGACTGCCACAACTTCAAGGCCAGCCTGGGATACATAGCTCACTACAAGGTAAGACACTGTCAAGGGTGCGGGGAAGAATATCAAATTTAGAAGTGAGAATAAAAGCTTGGCCATTGTAGTTCCAAAAGGAGAAACCAAGGCATTACATGGTATATGGCTACAGCAGAAGGAGAAAGTAACTGTAATCTTGAAAGGGAAAGTACTCTTGGTGAGATTGATTACTAGGATTTGGGCAAATCTAATCAAGCAAGTGGGCATAATCTGTCAAAATCATGAGACTCACAGTACATGCATAAAACAGACTCTGGGGTGGCTTTGTAGTTCCTGAACACCATACGTGTGACCAATCAGAAAAGTGCCATCTTCAATTCTTCATTTACATCTGGTGTGAAACCAAGCAAGTCTTTGACAGGACAGTTTAAATCTGGCACCAGGCAAAATGAGTTTTGATAGGACAACTATCCCCAATGTCTTGTTTGCATGAGGGAGAAGCAATTTAGAAATTCTACATACAAAAGACCCCCCTCCATAGTCCTCAAGGACACTGTGAGCCTTTTCACCAGCCTGCTCTCACTCTGCACACTGAACTTCTTTTCCACCTTTAATAAATGCACATCCAGTTCAATCCCCAGTACCCAATAAATAAATGCACATCCTTGATATCTTTTCTGTGTCTTGCCCAATTTTTTGTTCAGGATACCAAGAAGCTACAAAGAATTTCTTAGCTGGCGATTTAGCTCAGCAGCATCACACTGCCTCACAAGCACAAGGTCCTGAGTTCAGTCCCTGCTACAAAAACATAATAATAATAATCTCATCAGGTCCCAAAAGCCCATAACACCAAGATGAGGAAGTAATCCCAAAGCTTTAGTTGCAGGGAAGGAGAAGGAACACAAACTCAGGAATGCCTTTTCTTCATCGGTTCTGTGATGATTATTTCATTCCTTCTTTACTCCTCCTCAGCAGAGATCTTTCCTCATCCTCAGAACTTGGCACAGAAAAACCACCAATTAAAGAAAATCACTGTCTGGACTAATCCACCTCATCATCTCCGGCAAACTCAAAATGGTCGATGCTGCTTGTTTTCAAATCTCAATTTTCCCTGCCATCTGCAGTCAGATTTGTTCCTTAGTCCTCACATAAACCTGTCTGGATGCCACATCTCAACAGCCACTCTCCATGGGGCAGCTTTTTCTACCCAGTGACCAAGGCTTTGGACCTCCTCACTGGACCAATAAGGTATTTACAGAAAAACTAACTGGCAGGAAAAGGGCAGAAAGAAGAAAGCTGAATACACCACTTTCAAGAAACCTCTCAGACAGACTGTGTCCTCTCCCCACTACTCTCCCCAAAGAAAAGAACAATCACCAATGGCGAATGGCAGTTACAGTGAAGTGATACCAAGGGCCCACTTCACAGTCAGAACAAGCTGTGTCTCTTCCTCATGGCTTCCACATTCCCCAAGACAAAACCTTCTCTAGTAACAAACTATACAAAGGGCTGTTAATATTGTGGTCCTAGCTGTACACTCCCCACCTCTAATGAGTCCGTTGTGGTCCTACACTTTGAGTGATAGAGAGGTGGGCTATTAGATTTTGTTTTTGCTTGGGGGAAGAAAGAATACCAGATCTTTTGCCTCTTACATAGTCTATATCTCATAAAATTCTGGTCAAATGACATCATTCAAAACACGTATTTTTTACTTGTAAACCTTCCAAAATTTAAAGTAGGGATTGAGCTCATTAACATAGTGCTTCTTAGCAGCTGGTCATTTGCTTTGTTTTCTGCAGGCTTTTCTCTCCTAACCCTTGAGAGCTGTGATCACTCTACAGACCACAGAGCACTGCCATGTGCTAAGGACAGGTGTTCATCCTGCAGGTCAGCGCATATGACCTCTCACCTGAATAAAGAAATCAGTACAGTTGAGAGACCAGGTATTCTCTGCCATGAGAGACAGAGAGCTGGGCATGGTGTTGCACATCTAGAATCCCACTGTCAAGGGCAGAGATGGGTGGAGAGTCTCTGCAGTCCTGGGCCTGACTCTCCCGATGATGCAGAAGGTTGTGGAAGAATTAGAGACCAAAAGTGTAGAAGCAAAGTTGTACTTTTATTCAGCAAGCATGCAAGAGTACAGTGCTTTCTTCCAGAGAGACAGGAAGGGGTGCCCAAAACGAAGCCACTGTTGAAGGGGGGCTCAAGATGTTGGTTTTATATTAGTCAGGGGCCTATCCTGTCTCTGGGCTGAGGGTGCCCCTACTTGATTGGTTAATTGGTTGACCTGGCTCGTGACTAGGGACAATAGGGAAGGGTCTTTTGGGGGCCTTTTACATCTTGGGGGCCTGTTATATGGAGAGGAGAGGACAGGAACTTACTATGTATCACAGACTGGTCAGGAATTCAAAGTGATCCTCCTGCCTCAGCCTCCCAAGTACTGGGATTACATAAATGTGCCACCAAGCCCAGCTTATATACTACTGCTATGTAACTCATTCTACTGCAAATAGATGTACTTCTCCCTGTTAAACTGTCAGCTCTTTATGTGTTTTTTTTTTTTCTTTCTTTGGTGATGAGGTCTTGCTGTGTTCCTTGAGATAGTGTCAAACTCTTGGATTCACGTGATCCTCGTACCTCAGCCTCCCAAGTAGCTGGGACTCCTGGCACACACCACCTTGCTTAGATTGTGATCCCCTTAAAAGCAAGAACTAGGCTGGTGTGATGGTGGACACCTGGAATCCCAGTACTTGGGAGGTTGAAGCAAGAGGATCACCTCAAGTTTGAGGTTAGTCTGGGCCACACAGTGAGTTCAAGGCTGGACTACACAGCAAGACCCTTTCTCAAAAAAATAAATAAAAAACTAAAAAAAATAATAAGAATCAGGCTGGGAATGGTAAATTCAACACTTTGGACAATTGAGGCAGAAGGACTGCACCTTCAGATCCTCCCTGGGCAACTTAGCGAGACTTTTTTTTTTTTGGTACCAGGGATCAAACTCAGGACCTTGCACTTGTGAGGCAGTCAGTGGAACTACTAAGCTAAATCCCCGGCTCTGAGATTCTTTTTAAAATCAAAAGTAAAGAGGTCTCGAGACATAGCTCAGAGTACAAAGGCCCTGGATTCAACCCTAAGTGCTGAAGAAAAAAAACAAGATCCACATTATATTTATCTTTATATCGCCAGCATCAAGCCTGGCACAGCTGATGACCAGTAAATGCTGAGTAACCTAACAATGAGTCAATGAATGTATTATTCCTCCCTTCCCACAGTCTGGTGACTGACTCGACTTCTCAAAACTAGATTTCCCCAACTTGTTCCACAAAGTGACCTCCCTGTAAGGGAGTGAGATCCCTGTCAGTGCGGTTCCTGGCCTCCTCTTGTCCATCCTTGATTTCAAAACGTACCTGTGCATCCCAGATCTCTCTTCTGAGGTGCTGACTCAGATGTTCAGCCTCTTTCTGGCATTGTGCTTAGCCAAATCATAGGTATCTTACACTCAGTTGTCTAAACTGACTTCCATCAGCTTCTTGCCTACCTTATTCCTCTCCCAGGAAATGACACCATTTTCAACCTAATTATTCAAAACAAAAATCTCTTGAGTTACTTTTTCTTTTTTTTGTGGTACCGGGATTGAACTCAGGACCTTGCGCTTTCAAGGCAGGCATGGCACCACTGAGCTAAATCCCTGGCCCCCCCTTTTTACTTTATTCTTTTCTCTCCCCTCTACCCTATCACATCTCCTCCTCTAGCCTGAGAAACTATTTCAAATGGAAATCTCTTCACACTTATCATACAGCAAGAAATGTGTGTGTGTATGTGTGTGTATTGTAATCACCAGCCACAGATACACTAGTCTCCAGAAAGACTGAGGTGTGATTAGAGGGTTGGGACTTTTAAAACCTCCCCTCACCATTGACTTTCAGGGAGAGAAGGCTGGGCTGGAGATTGAATTCAATCATCAATGGCCAATGACTGAACCAATTATGCTGATGTAATAAAACCTCCATAAGAACATCTAAACAGGTAGGCAAGGTGGCACATGCCTACAATCACAGTTGGATCACAAGTTCAAAGCCTGCCTGGGCAACTCAGCAAGGCTCTGTCTCAACACTTTTTTAAAAAAGGGCTAGGGATACATAAGGTATGATTATAAAATACAGTGATTGGCTAAATATAGACACATTTGCCCTTAATCTCCCTCAAAATACTCCCCCTTGCTTAAACGTATTTGTCCCATTGTTCTTGCCATTTTCTAAAGCCCTTCTGGAAGTCCTTTCTTTTATGTGTCCTTAGTTGCAGCTATTGTGGCTGCCCAGAAGTCCTAAATAAATTCAAAGCATTTACTTTCATGGTTATTTTTACTTTGGGGAAGAGCCAGAAGTTTCCACAGTCCCAGATCCAGTGAACATCTGAGAGGGTTGGAGGACACACCATACTGTTTCATTTGTTTGCTTGTTTTTGGTATCAGGGATCAAACTCGAGACCTTGTGCTTGTGAAGTAGGCAGCGGAAACACTGAGCTAAATCCCCGGCCCTTACACCATGCTGTTTCTGTGACCCTGCCTTTCAGTTGAATTCACTGTTGTTTTTTTGTTTTTTTGTTTTTGTTTTTTTTGGTACCAGGGATAGAACTCAGGACCTTGCACTTGTGAGGCAGGCAGCGGAACCAGTGAGCTAAATTCCCAGCCCCCAGAATTCACTATGTTGATCACATCCCGTAAGACCAAAAAAAAGGATTTTCACAACTGCTTCAGAGGGTAGAAAGAACAATGGGATAAGTGTGTTTGAAGAGAAGAGCAGTATTTTGAGGTGCATTCGTGGTAATGTTTTTATGTGTAATTTATTATATTATTATTACTATTGCGGGGGTTGAGACAGGGTCTCACTATGTAGTTGAGACTGACCTGGAACTCACTTTGTAGCCCAGGCTGGTCTCGAACTCACAGCGACCCTCCTGCCTCAGCCTTCCGAGTGCTGGGATTACAGGTGTGCGCCACTACGCCTGGCTGTAATTTTTAAAATTTAAATAATGGACACTTTTTTTAAATCAGATCTATAGTTTAGTGGTAAAGCATTTACCTAGTAATCCCATTACAACCAGAACAAACCAAACACCTAAGCAAATGGGATTTGGGGAGCTTCTGATCTGCTATCAAAGAGCTGAGAGGATGGCATGCTTGGAAAGAGAAGTCTGTAAACCTCACCCACCTCCACGTCTAGCTTTACGTATCTATTCCATCTGACTTCCTGAGTTTTCTTTTTACTAAACTAGTAATGGTAAGTGGTTCCTTGAGTTCTGTGTCATTCTAGTGGATTATCCAATCTGAGGAAGACCATGGGAACCCAATTTAGCCAACAGCAATGTGGGTAGAAGTGGGTATCCCACTTGTAGCTGACATCTGCAATGAAGGAAGTCTTGTGAAACTGAATCCTCAACCTACAAAGCCCAGGATAATTCAGGAATTAACGCCAGAATCTAATAGAACTGTTCAGCATCCAAATTGTAGTCAGAATCAGTGTAGAACATGCAACATCGTGTAAAATATGCAACATTTGTGTTGGGGGCTGGTGGGATAATCTTAAACCCATCATCATCTCTCTTCTCCACTAAAAGCTGCAATGCAGACAATGTATGTGTATGCAGTGAAATGATAATCCTGTTGCACGCCCGATAAAATCCGTATTTGTCATAGAAGACTCTACAGAAGTTCGAAGACCCATAAAGCAATTAAAAGCAAAGAAAACAGTTAATACTTTAAAATTTAAACCTCACTTAACCCACAATATTACAATAAAAATTACTATGTACAATTTAAAAAGCCCCATTTAAAGAAAACACGCTTGAAAACACAAGTTTAGACTATTAACCCCGAAATAAACCCAAAATCTTTCAAAAAGTATTCACAAGCTCTGAGAAGAGAACAAAATCTAATCAAAACTTCTGTTTTTATACAATCAAAGACAGGGGAGAGCGCGAACGCAGTCCCCCACTACCACAAATTATGCAGTCGAGTTTCCCACATTTGGGGAAATCGCAGGGGTCAGCACATCCGGAGTGCAATGGATAAGCCTCGCCCTGGGAAAACCACCTTCGTGATCATGGTATCTCCCCTGCCAGGTAAGTATGAGTTGGTTCGCCCGCACGCCACCTCACCCTCCTCTCACACTCATCACTTACTCAGGGTCACTCACACGCCCGCGCCTTGCCGCCCTCCTTTCCCAACCTCACGCTTCCCACCCACACCCCTCACACTCCTTTCTCGGGGGACCCACCCGGGGGAACTCGGCGGCGCCGGCAACAACGCACGGGAACCGGCAACCACCGCGTCTCATCTACATGGCCCCGCCCCCAGGTGACGTCCACCGCGGCGTCACGGCTTCTCCCCGCGCTTCCCTTCCGGAGGACCGGATCCCACCGCGGGGGCCGCCGAAGCCAACTGTGCTCCTTTCTTAGCGCGGGTCTCAGCCGCGCCCTGGTGGCGCTG